AATAGATTAAATTCTCTAATCAGAAGACATAGAATGACTGAATAATTTTTTTAAACTGAACATTCATCAATATGCTGCTTACAAAAGATTTTCTTTAGGTTTAAAAACACATGGAGACTGAAAGTGAAGGAAGGTAGAAAGTCAAGAAAAAGAAATAAGAGGCATCAGAACTAGAAAGGAAGAAGTAAAATTACCTCTATTTACTGATGACATAGTTTTACATTTAGAAAATACTAAAGACTTCACCAAAAAAACTGTTAGAACCAATAATCAAATTTAGTGAAGTTGCAGAATATAAAATTAACATACAAAAATAAGTAACATTTCTATACACTAACAATGAATTATCTGAAAAAGGAATAAAGAAAACTATCCAATTCACAATAGCATCAAAAATAATAATACACTTAGGAATAAAATTAACCAAGGGAGTGAAAAATGTCTACTCTAAAAACTACAAAAAATGGTGAAACAAATTGAAGAAGACACACATAAATGAAAATGTATTCTGTTTCCATGAATTGTAAGAAATAATATTGTTAAAATGTCCATACTACCAAACACCATCTATAGATTTAATGCCATTCTTATCAAGATTCCAATGGCATTTTTTCAGAAGTAGAAAAAATAATCCTCAAGTTTCTATGGAACCACAAAGACCCAGAATGGCCAAAGTAACCATGAGGAAAAAAGAAACAACATAGAAGGAGGCATCACACTTCCTGATTTCTGGGTATACTATAAATCTATAGTAATCAAACCAGTATAATACCAGCATAAAAACAAAAAGATCAGTGGAACAGAATACAGAGCCCAGAAATAAACCCAAGCACATACAATCAACTAATATTTGACAAGGTATCTGAGAATACTCAATAGAGAAAAGACAGTCTCTTTAGTGTTAGGGATATTGAATATTCACATGTGAAAGAATGAAGCTAGACCTCAGTCTTACACTACTTATAAAAATTAACTCAAAATGTATTAAAGGCTTAAGGGTAAGACCTGAAACCGTGAAACTCCTAGAAAGAAACATACGGGAAAAAACTCCTTGACATGGGTCTTGGGATGTCACATATAAGCTCAAGAAACAAAATCAAAAATAAATAAATGGCACTACATCAAACTAAAAAGCTTCTGCACAACAAAAGAATCATCAAAATGATTAAATAGATATATACATTGTGAAATTATTACCACAATTAAGTTAATCAATACATCAATCATCAAACTATAGTTAATACCACTGTAGTGTATACTTGGTATATTCTGAGAATGAATCTTCAACATTCTCACCACAAAAAATGCTTAATTTTTTTGAAGAAAACATTAACTAATGTGCAAGAATATAGGTTTTCCAAGTTGCTTTTTCTTTTTTTTTATTATGTTATGTTAGTCACCATACAATACATCGTTAGTTTTTGATGTGGTGATCCATGATCCACTGTTTTCGTATAACACCCAGTGCTCCATGCAGTACGTGCCCTCCTTAATGCCCATCACTGGGCTAACCAATCCCCCCTCCCCCCTCCCCTATAAAACCCTGTTTGT